TAAGTTATCATAGTGAACGATAAGATAAATGAATATATATGATATTTTTGAAACAAAAAGTCTAACTTGTTAAGAAATGAACAAATCCGTTATTTTCTTTTTTTATAATCAAATGTTTTTGTTTTTGGGTTGCATAAACTACTAGCACATTTATTTATTAAAAAAAAAACAGATATCAATATATCATGTTCAGCAACAAAGGTGAAAAATGAACCCAAATTAGATGTGAGCAAACTATTTCCTAGTCATCATTTTTCTTGTCTTGTCCTAATTTACAAGTTGCCAATTTAATAGAAAATATTGAAAAAGGAGACAAATTTTGTTTAAAAAAAGAAAAAAGGAAATTGTCACAAGGCGTTGATTATCGCCTGCTCCTTAGAACACCCTAACGCAAACAAATCAACTTCCCGAGATCTCTTCTTCCCACCGTCGTTTGGTTTCGCGTTACTCGCATTGTAAATGTTGACCCCGAATAGCTTAACCACAGTCTGAACCGGGTTTTGCTCCGTACCGGACCGGATTTTCCAATCGATAAAAAGCTGCCGGTCTGGTCCGGTCGATCTCTCGAAACAAACCACATCACCGGCTCGAAGATTCTTCTCCTTAACGAACCGGCTCCAGCCCTTGGTCAACACGTAACTTTGACTGCTGTTCCAGTACGAGTAACGGAACCGCCACACTTTCCCTGTTCTGTCTTCCAAATTAATCAAAACGCCTTTCGTCGGAGAGGGATTCACCGTCGTCGTCATCGCCGGTAACGGGAAATGCCTCTCCGCGTGCTGTTTCGGTATCACTAACCGGTTAAGCTTCCCGACGTCGCTCGGCGTAACGGCTTTCTCGAACAAAATCTCACGCGCTCTCAAAACGCCGTCGTTTCCTTGTGACGTCGTCGTCGTAATCCCCGATCCACAACGTTTTCCGTTACCGTCAAGAAACTTCCGTTTGCTCTGATGAAGCTCGTCGGCGTAAGTGTGTTTCCTCAACATATCAACAATCTCAGCCTTGGAGTGAGCATCGAGAAAAGCCGATTCGGCGTCGTTTCCAATGACCGCCGGAGATTTGAAATTAGTGACGGCGTCGCGTCCACGGAATCTCCAAGCGGCGATGTCGTAGGAAGCAGCAGCTTCTTGTTCCTCGTTGAAAGTGCCGAGCCAAACACGTTGATGCTTCTCGTAAATCTGAGCTCCCCACCTTCCGTTAGGCTGAGGAACAACGCCTTTGTATTTCGACGACGGGAGTTTCCGTGACTCCGTTTCGACGCCGTTATCCGTATCCAAGACGACGCTGCTTCCGCCGCTACCCATCCGGCAGAGACGCATCGCCGGAGGAGGAGAGAGTTTATTCATCATCTCCGTCGTCGTCGTCTTGGTAGAGATGGAGAGAGATTCAGAAGTAGTACTACTGTCATCTATACAGCTGTAATCCATTTCTTTCAAACGAAAATTAGAGAGGACAACAAAAAAATATGGAGAAATGGGTCTGTCTTGTTGTTACTTTATGAGGAGATGGGATTTGGAGTATATATATACAGAGGGAAGTGCATGTACGTTCATATCCCTATTTATTATTAATTTTTGTTAATCAAAATATAAATGTAAAATGTGGGTAATGAATCTTAATATATAGAAAAGGTAAGGGT